CCCTGATTTGTGAGAAAGTGGATTATTCAAATAAACAAATAGAACTGAGAGGAAAACCGGTAAAACGCATAATAATAATAAATAAAAACGAATAGTACTTATTTAATAAAAGTTAACAAAACTTCTGTAAAATCAGTTCATAAATCAGTTTATATGCTGCCTCTCTCTCCACAACCTGCACAAACGTTCAAAAAGTCTCACAAAAGCTGCTATCCTCAGGTAATTCAGATTACTTTTTTAAAATTGAACAGCTGTTTTAATTTTATTTTGCTAAATGCGGTTTTTAAAGTCTCTTAAATAAGCTGTAGGCTACAGAGGACAGAAACAAATATATTTGATTACACACTGAGATATTACTGAGAGTGTTTGCTTAGTAAACTCGYACTGAAAATGGAATAAATATAAAATAAATGCATCCACAGACCGCTGCGCTGCTTGACTTCAGTGCGCATGCGTCGGTGCCACTTTCACCACCTGCCACACAATCCGTGTATTTCACATGGGGCGCGCGGGAGTTGACATCCACTTGTGTGTGCTGCTGCTCGCTGAGAGGAGAACCGTCTCAGGCGACAAGAGGAGAACAAGACCGAGGTGTTTTTTTCTTATTCTTTTTCTTCTGCTTCTCTTCCTGACGGCGCTTCACTCCTGGACGCTACAATGACGCAGAAAAGATTTGCGCGCTCGTAAAGACGCCGCCACTTGAACATTTCAGAGGATAATAAAAATCATCGGAAGGGATGAAGAACTGAAGTTTGAAGTAAGTCATCCAACAAACCAGCTGTGGATCTTTTTTATTAAATATTCTATAACAAAAAAAGTTGACTTCATTGTAGTTTTAGAGCAGTTTTGGAAATGTTTTAATAGTTTGACTGATTGTGTTTTCTTTCAGAGAGTTTGACCCCCCCAGCATGTCTAAACCAATGGATCACGTCAAACGTCCGATGAACGCTTTCATGGTCTGGTCCAGAGCCCAGCGCAGGAAAATGGCCCAGGAGAACCCGAAGATGCACAACTCGGAGATCAGCAAGAGACTGGGAGCGGAGTGGAAACTTCTCACCGAGTCGGAGAAGAGGCCGTTCATCGACGAGGCCAAGCGGCTGAGAGCCATGCACATGAAGGAGCACCCCGACTACAAATACAGACCGAGGCGGAAGCCCAAGACCCTGATGAAGAAAGATAAGTTTTCCTTCCCGGTGCCCTACAACCTCGGGGAGCACGACGCGCTGAAGATTAACGGACTCGCCGGAGGAGCGCTTTCCGACTCGGTCATTGGGAACCCGGACAAGGCGGCGGCCGCGGCGGCCGCGGCGGCCCGGGTCTTCTTCAACCCGTCCATGTCCACGAACCCCTATTCATTTTTTGACCTGGGCTCCAAGATGACCGAGCTCTCCCCTCCTTCGTTCCCCTACGCCTCCCCTTTGGGCTACCCGCCCGGGGGCGCGTTCTCCGGGACGGGCGGTGTGGGCGGCGGGACGCACACCCACTCCCACCCGTCCCCGGGCAACCCGGGCTACATGATCCCGTGTAACTGTTCGGCCTGGCCCACAGCGGGACTCCAGCCGCCCTTGGCGTACATCCTGCTCCCGGGGATGGGGAAACCTCAGCTTGAACCGTACCCCGCGTACGCCGCGGCGTTATGATAGGCCCACTTTGGAGAGTGCGCAAAAACRAAAGAAGAAAAGAAAAAGAAGAGAGAGAGAAAAAACGAGTTATCCATGCAAGAGTTTTATAATTATGCATGCACAAACTTGTAACATGTGATGAAGTGCTCGTCGTCTCAGATATCACATGTGTATGTACATTTTAATGCCTTTATCTTTAAGGTAATGCTTATTTAGAGAACTCTCTAATCTATTATCACAACCTGCAGGACTGAACACAGATTTTTAGGGACGGATGGCAGAGCATTGGGTGATTTTTTTTTCCCCTTTGGAAAAGATGGTCCGTTTTGCTCTTTTCCCACCTGCTTGTCAAACCTGTTGGAATCAGTGGACCCCCTCCCCCCTCCCCCTGCTCTCTCTCATCAGGACCACATCTCTCAGATAAATAATGGACTGTAAATGTGTACAGATAAAATGACTTTAGTTCTTTTAGTGTTGGACATATGGGGCCCATGCAGGAACCTATTCCCCTAGAAACCACCAGTGTACCTATATTTTCTTTCTTTTTTTTTATATAGATGTCTGTAATATTTATTGTTTAGTGGAATCTATGGTGACCCAAGATGATTAAAAAAAAAAAAGAACGGACAAAACTATTTGCACATGGATCTGAAAGGATGTAATTTATTCTCAAAGGTGTTACTCGATTCCAGTTTGAAAACCGTTTTGACTATGAGGGGAAAAAAATAAGTTTATTTTGCAGGTTTATAATCTTCTTTTTGCTCCCCACTTCCTCTTCCCCCCTTCTTCGTATCATGTGCAGCAACATAAAAAAGAGACATTTTTAACTAACTCTTAATGAATTTGTAATGTTTTTTTGTGTTTTCTTTTAACCTCCGTTATGTACTTCAAACTGTTCACTTGTTAAGCCAAAAAAAAAAGAAAGGTAAAAAAAAGGACTACAATAAAGCCTATTTGGATTAAAACAGAAGGGAATCGCAGCTGTAGTTCTTGATGAGCTGAACAAGATTGGTATCTTTTCTTTTTCCCTTTCCCCCCCTCCTGCTCCTCTCAGTCCAGGTGAAGTGTAAGGTATCCTCCAAAGGCCGCTTTTGTCCGAGTTTTGAATGGCATTGCTGCTGGTGAGGGGGTGGGTGGGAAATCTAAATCAGCTCATTGTTGTCAAGAGCCAAAAAAAAAAAAGAAAGGAAAAAAAAAACGCACACCTTTATTTGTCACAATTTTAATTGTGAAAACAAAACCTGTGTCTTAGCTTTCAGGTTGTATTTTAGGCTACCGAACAGGGGCGAGCCTGAGAAGGAAAAACAAAGTGGGTTCAGTTTAAACAAAAAAAAGGGGGCACCTTTGGAGAAAACACTGTTGTGTGTGTTTACAGCAGGTGTTTCAAGTCTGTTAAATCTTATACCACGTTTTAAAAAAAGATAAAAACAACAACAACAACAAAAAAAAAAAAAACTGAGCAATCCCACTTCTTCTTCACCGACAGATGAATTCATACGGACCGGAGCGATTATGCAAAACTAATTTGGACAGTCCAGGGATAATTATCTCCGYCATGGTTAATTAAACCTTTTCAGCTCTGTGCTCTCCATTGTAACACCTCCATGGCTTCCCTCCGCAAAACTTTCTTTTTCTTCTTCTTGGGCCTTCTAGAGTAACGCACAATACCGATGTGGGGAAAAATCCAACACAACAAAACAAAAAAAAAGTGTTTTGTTTTTCCTGTTTGAATTTGTTGACTATCTGACAGTGAGTTCTTTCTGATTTTCAGTAAAATAAATATTTATTTTAAAAATAACGGTCAGTCAAAGAAAAATGTCTCCTGAATTACAAGTTCCGGGCCTTTTCCTTTCACTTTCTTCACCCTTCTTTATTGTTTTTTTTTCCTTAAAGAAGGGAGAAAAAAAGGGGAGGGGGGAAGAAAGCTGAAAGAACTTTTTCTTATTTCCAGCTCTGGGAGCGTTTAGACGGTCGAGGAGGTTTTGTCTGGGAACAAAACGTGGGTTGGGAGGTTTTGTGAGGGTGTTGTTTGTTGAAGTGGAGCTCAGCAAAAGCGGCTGCTTTCCCTCATTGTGATGAAAGCAATCAGTGGTATTTGGAAAACTGTTAGCATTGTCCACTCCTTCTGTGGCCATTGTGGAGGATTTCTTTTCACAAGGTTTTTTTCTTTTCTTTCAGTCGATCCAGCTGGCCGGAGTGAATAGCGGTGCAATGTGTACACGCTTTGTCCCTCTGAGCCCTTCAAGTAGCCCACACTGAATGGAGTGAGTTGACACTGCATGACAGTGAAACAACATAATAAAAAATACATGAGCGCATGAATGGAAGCAGGCGCATAAATAAATAAAATGGGTGGCCAAAACTGGATAAACTGAATGACAAAATGGTGAAAAGGGGGGAACAAAAAGATATTTAACATGCTAGATTAGCATTAGAATGCAATCTACAAGCCAGAACAATTGATGAATAGGTTTACCGGCCAAGAAAGAAATGGACTAAATGCCTTTTGAATGGATAGCCTATGTCTTTTTTTTTTTTTTTTTTGGTCAAAGATGGGAACTGAACAGCAAAGTTGAGAATGCACAGAAAGAGAGACAAAAAAGTTTGAGAAAGTTTTTGATTCAAAATTTCCCCCCAAAATTTTTTGCTTTTTTTCTTACGAAATTTTGACGTAATTGGTTTATTTGAACAAATTAAATTTAAGTTTGTGTCACATTCAGTTGGATTTTTTCTCCAGTTTTGATGCCTTTGTCGTCGTGTTTTCCTCAAATTATTTTAAAGCACACCTCAGCCTCCTCATCATTAAACACACTGAACATTAAACACATTGAACACACTGTTTTGTGTTTCTAAGTGGAAACTGAGTCGAAGTAGCTGCCTGATGATAAAGATCTGGCTCTGATGGGGCTGAATGTGAGCACACAGAGGATATACCCAAGCTGTAGTTGTTCACATGGAAAAAGCTTTAATTTAACACTCAGTCTTGTTGAGCTGGCAGTCAAGTATTAGTATTAGTTACACTGACATTTTAAACACAGGGAGGGTGTTTAAGGATGGAAATCACTGACTTTAGTTAAAAACCTTTTAAAAAGATGAGAAGTTGCCTTTCTAAACAGCAATCATATAAATGTCTTTAGAGGTTATTTAGGTTGATGAAATATAAAAAAAATAGCTCAAGCAGTTCATCTGTTTCATTAAAAGCTTTACTCATTAACAACAATCTGATGAGATTCACAATTTAAATTCAAGAGAAACCATTTGAAGGTGAAAAAAGAAAAACGCAGAAAAAGAGTTAATCAGTGAGAAACCTTTATTTTACACTTTCATAACACTTTAAATGTTTAAAATTCTGCACAACTTCGAAAAAAACCCATAGACTTTTGTTAAGTGATCCATGACATCTTGAATTTTTACTATTTCGTAATAAATTCTTAGGCCTCCTCAAGATGTTAATGAGCATCCTGGATGTGAGCAAAATGCACGACATTCTTTGGAATCAAGATATTCTTTTAAAATGAGAAATTTAAACCTCCTCACATTACACGCCTTAGTGTTTTTTTACTGTATGTACTGACAAGAAGTATGAATCTTTCAATGTAAGATTTAAACCCATGGCTGCCTCATGTTTTCGTAAGCCGCCCGCCTGATGCCCTGATATCATTATGTGCGAGTGTTAAACCCTTTATGTGCCTGTAAGACATTTGTAGAAGTGAGATTAGGCAAATGAACATACATATGTATCACCAGTGCAACCGTGTTGACCTCAGAGTGATGCACAATAGTTCACTTATCCGTAATTCGCCGAGGGCTGCCCCCCAAAAAGCATACGGATTATCACCTGGCTTCAACGGCCTGAGATGGATCTTTATATATATA